CCCCAAAACCCCAAAACCCCAATATAATTATTCACATCTTAAATCATGATTATGAAATTAAGGTTTAATTAAATCAGATTCTTTGATATTCTCAATCAATAAATGTAATGTCAGTCACGTACTTTAAGTAATTCTTAGTTGTATTGATAATCTCTGAAAAAATAATCTTCTGTCTAAGAACTTTGCCGGGTTCTTTAGATCCTTTTTTAATATCACTACCAATTAAAAATGATGAAGGATGGATAGAGCATTCCTCATTATTCATTGTCTTATATTGATTTCCTTTCTCTAATGTAGCCACGTTAAGAATTAGACCATCCTTCAGACATCTTACTACCTTTTGCTACTTTTCCTTGTTGGATATTTATATCTCTTGGTAATCACTCATCTTTTCAGTCTCCCCATCCTATTTCATCTAACTAACTTAATTCTTATTTCTCTTATCAATAATCTACTTCAGGTAATCATCCAACTACTCCTTAATCAAAAGAGCTTTGACTAGTGATTTATCATTGAAAAAATGCTCTCTCGCGAATTCTATTGCATCTTTTTTAGATTTTGTTTTGTAAACCTCTTTAAAATGGCTGAAAATATTTAGCAAGGTCAGATGATCACTTTCTGTATTAATGAATTTTTTCCTCTTCTTCAAGACAATACTCTCTTATCCCTTTGGCTAGAAAAGAATGTTTTCCACTGATAGAAGACCTACTATCGCACTAATGCTGTCTTTGATCTCAATATATTCATCTTTTAAAGCAGTCTAAAACCAATAAATAATACAGTGATTTTACAATGAGAAGTTTGGAAAATAGTGGCTCCGTTGGCAAAATAGCCATCTCCTATCCTAATTAAGTAAGTTCTGCATTTTATGGATTTAATGTTCCCAGCTTCATAAGAATTTGGAAAGCACTAACATAGCTTTGCTAAGTAGGCTTATCTATAAAGTCAATCTTGCTCACATCCTTGATCCCTATTGCTTTTAGATTTAATATCACTCCACTTAAATTGCATCTCATAATCTCTGGGATGGTATTTGGCTCTAATTCTTTGAAAGACTCCTCTGTAAATAATCTAAAGCATTTCCCAGCTCTTTCTCTTCCAGCTCTACCTGCTCTTTAAATTGCAGAATTCTACGATATAGGTTCAACTTTAAGAGCATCAATTCCAGTAGAGTTTTTATATGTTCTAATTTTTACCAATCCACTATCAATTACATATCTTACTCCAGAGATGGTTACTGATGTTTCAGCTATGTTTGTTGAAAGTATTATCTTTCTTTATGGATAAGCTTTGAACACTCTCATTTATTACTCTGAAGGCAAATTAGCATATAATGGAAGTATCACAACTTAATCTTAAAGTCCGAATATTTAGAATTTCTCCTTTAATATCACTTCAGCCTCCTCAATATCTTCCTAGCCTGTCAAAAATGATAAAATATCACCATCCTCTTCCTCTCCTAGTACTATTTACAATATTGTAGTAATCATTGAACTCTAAGATAGAATTAATGAAATAAATTTACTATATAATCTCTCTGTGGTTCAATACTATTATATATCTCAATTGGGAAAGTTCTACCTTTGACTTCAACTACTGCTTCAGTCCCGAAGTACTTGCAAAACTTTTCAACTTCTAAGGTGGCACTCATAATTACAAGTTTCAAACTGTTGTGCAATTAAGCTTTTAAAAATTTACTCTTATCTTTAAGATGCAATTTTCTTGAGCAATGCCATTAGAGTATCAGAATTGACAGTTCTTTCATGAGCCTCATCGAGAATTACAATTCCGTACTATTTAAGATTAGAATCAATAATTGCCTCTCTTAAAAGCATACCATCAGTCAAGAACTTAATCCTAGTCCTGACTGACAATTTCTCCTCAAATCTAACTCTGTATCCAACCACGTCTCCTACTTGCTTATTTAATTCTTGAGAAACTCTCATAGCTAAACTTATGGCAGCTACTCTTCTCGGCTATGTGATAGCTATTGTATGTTTATTGTGCAATTCTTTTCTAGCCTCGAATAAAATTTTAGGCACTTATGTGGTTTTGCCTGATCCAGTTTCACCTTGAATAAGCACTATCTAATTATCCTTAATCTATAGTACTTTATATGAAATTGAATTTAATTACTTTTTGGATAATTTCATCTTTCTTAGAATGAATTGGCAATATATTTTCAGATGAAAATGTACTCTTTTTCATTTTTGTAATAAGATAATAGATAATGTAATATTAATTTCATCATATATTTAATCTAAGAGTAAATAATAAATTCTGGGGTTTTGGGGTTTTGGGGTTTTGGGG